TCGTCTCTCCTTATCAAGTGCTACTTCTCTGGAACGCTGCAAGGAAACTGAACAAAATGAAGCAGGAAATTGACACCTTCCCGGAGAAGGCCCAGGCTCTCCCCAACGGTGAAATAGAAGTTCAGTCTGCTATGCTTTCCTTGTGGCAGCCGGGAAAATCAATGGAGGGTGAACCTGTCCTTTTGAAACAAGACACTAATACAGCATTTAAGCCATCTCACCTGGCCCTTGTTTTCGGGTTTTCACATCTAATGAAATAAAACCCTGAGGTTTTCTGCAATGCGTATCCTTACCTACCTCAATGCCTCTCCACAAAGGGTTTTCAGGGGGGGAAAAATGCAGAGTTCCCAGGATGTGATGTCCCTGGTTGGCGATCAGAAATTCCCCCAGCAAATGTACAAACCATACCTCTGTGTGTGTGTGTGTGTGTGTGTGTGTGTGTGTGTGTGTGTGTCTGTGTTTGAGAGAGAGAGAGAGAGAGAGAGAGAGAGATACCGTTAGGTAGGTAGACAGACAGGCAGGCAGGCAGGTAGGTGGGGGAGAGGTAGGTAGGTGGAGTGAGAGAGAGAGAGAAAGAGATAGATAGATAGATAGATAGATAGATAGATAGATAGATAGATAGATAGATAGATAGATAGATAGATAGATAGATAGATAGATAGATAGATAGATAGATAGATAGATAGGCAGGCAGGCAGGCAGGCAGGCAGGCGGGGGGGAGAGGTAGGTAGGTAGGTAGGTAGAGAGAGAAAGAGAGAGAGACCTAAACACAGGCATTATATCTTTATTGCCCCCAAGAAGCAGATTCATCACCCTTAAAATTAACCTTTCCTTACCACTAATAACAATCCCGAGCTTCCATATCTCAAATAGGATGACAGCCTCCCTTTGACTCTAAATAACTGGTGAGGAAGGAAGAGAATGAGGAGTGCTTTTATTTATTTATTTTTTTAAAAAGTTTGCCTTAGTATGTCTGCTGCAGGCTCCCTCCCCCCAAAAAAACCCTGTAAAATTATACCCCACAAATCATAGAACCAGAATGAGTGTTCTTGTAAGAGACAGAAAATGGTGGTGGCTGTGGGTTAAAATTATAGAGGAGGAGGGGGAAGAGTGGGAGCGCTCAAAAGGCTAGTTTTAAGGGCACAAAGGGGAATGAACGATGCCTAGATCTCAGAAAAATATCCTGCACTTCGCAGAAGGCATGCACTCTGTTACCTTCTGCGTGTCCTGTCTGTTACAGATCATACATACAGTACAAAGTGGGGAGGAGGGATACAAACTACATCCAAGAGGGAATGGACTGGAAAAGATAGAAGGGGAAATAATGAAGGAATTAAATGCCCCCAGGAGTGATTAGCAGGTAATGAGGTAGAAGGGAAAATGATCTTGCAACGGAATATTATGCACACAATTACCCCTGAATTCAACGGGGCTTAGTCCCAAGTAAGTATAACCAAACACAAGGTTACATATATATATATATATATAAATATCACCATAAAGATGAAGGCAAAAGTTGAGCTGTCCGTTTTTAACTTTCCTTTCGCTGTCTGTCTTCATGAAATGCCTTCCGAGGTTATTAAATCATGCATTGCTGTATTGCTGCATGGAGCATGCACTAGGATTACATTAGGATGCATATTAAAATATTCCACGGCACGTATAAAGGATTGTTAGATTACTAACCCTGATTAAAATATCGTGCCTGATTTTGCTGCTGGGGACAATTCTTTCACCAGCCCCTTTTTAAGACTGTGTCAGTTGCAACTTCTGTTGTTTTAGCCGGATTCTTATAATCTCTGTAAGCTGCCCAGAGCTATTAAAAGCAGCTTTTCAATCTTCCTCTAGCAATGTGGATATACCGAAACGGTATGTGCATCCTCCGTGTGGATCCTTCTATCAATCAAACTCCAACAGCGTGCATGTGTATACGTAATACACATGCAACGCTGCATCTGTGAAGACCAGGCTGCGCATCAACAAAATGCAAAATGGTGACTTTCCCTTGGATGGCAATGTTGTGACTCTATCACACAGCCTCATGGCTTCTCTTTTGAACTGCAATCCTATGCATATCTAACACACCGCTACTGCCCGCTCCTCTGATGCCAATCGTGTGCACATATAACCAGTGGTGGGATTCAGCTGGTTCGCACCACTTTGGCAGAACCGGTAGCTAATTTTTGGTTGCCCAGGCCCAGAATGGACTTCCGGAAGTGGCATCCACACAAGAGAACCGGTTGTTCACCTATTTGAATCCCACCACTGCATATAACACAATTCTGTGAAGGCTCTCCCTAATGGCAACCCTTTTCTTTCTCTTTCTCTTTAACAAATCCCTATGACTTCTCTTTCAGATTGTGCATAGGTAACACAAGAGCTGGCCTCTCTTGGGCAGTAGCCATAAAATACTACACTGCACCTGCTCTCTCGGACTGTGGAAAGAGAACACAACATTGTGTCTTCTCTTTCCCACAGCGACCCTCTAGGTTGCAACCCATCTCTAGGTATTCAGTATACCCCAGACCTGATCCTTAATCTGTCTCGGACTACAATCCCCTGCATGTAACAACTCTGTGCCTCTGTCAGATTTTGCATAGGCAACACAACACTTGGCCTCTCTCCCGGTGTGTGCATACCAGTCAACATACCACTTGGCCTTCTCTCCCACACTGTGCATATGTAACACAACATTGAGTATTCTCTTTCCGATGGTGCAGATAAAATACAAGACACCTCTTCTCCTAGATATCCTGGGTAGAGAACACAACCTGGAGACTTCTCTCTCTTACTCCATCCATCCACCCACCCACCCACGTAAATATCACACACTTGGGTGAAATTCTTCAGATGGCAACCGTATGGATATAACAATCTTGCAGTTATTCCTTCAGTTTGCAATCCCGTGCAGCGAAAACATTATCCCTCCATCCATATTTATCTCCTCATCCATCCATCCCACTTTTATCTTTATCACCCGCTATATAAATACTACACACTTGGGTGTATCTCTTTCAGATTACAATCCTGTGCAGAGAACCCTAACTACCTATCCACCTACCTACTTACCCACCAATTCCATCCATCCATCCATCTCACTTTTTATCCCCCTCTAGGTAAATACAACCCAATTGGGTGTATCTCTTTCAGATTTCAATCCTATGGAGCAGAACACTACCTAACTATCTACCTATCTACCCCATCCATCCTACTTTTCTCTTTATCTCTCTCTACCTATATACAACACAGTTTGGTGTATCTCTTTCAGATTGCAATCTATGCACATAGAACACTACCTACCCACCATCCACCCCACTTTTCTTTTTATCTCCCTCTAGGTAAATACAACCCAACTGGGGCTATCTCTTTCAGATTTCAATCCTACGAAGACAGAACATTACCTACCTACCTGTCTACCTATCTACCCACCCCATCCATCCCACTTTTCTCTTTTATCACCTGCTATGTAAATACTACACACTTGGGTGTATCTCTTTCAGATTACAATCCTGTGCAGAGTACCCTAACTACCTACCCGCCTACCTACTTACCCACTGATTTATTCCATCCATCCATCTCATTTTTTATCTCCCTCTAGGTAAATACAGCCCAACTGGGTGTATCTCTTTCAGACTGCAATCCTATGGAGACAGAACACTACCTACCTGTGTACCTACCTATCTACCTACCTACCCGCCCCATCCATCCATCCATCCCACTTTTCTCTTTATCTTCCTCTTGGTAAATACAAGAGTTTGGTGTATCTCTTTCAGATTGCAATCCTATGGAGACGGAACATTACCTACCTACCTATCTACACACCCCATCCATCCATCCCACTTTTCTCTTTATCCCCCGCTATGTAAATACTACACACTTGGGTGTATCTCTTTCAGATTACAATCCTGTGCAGAGGACCCTAACTACCTACCCACCTACCTACTTACCCACCGATTCCATCCATCTATCCATCCATCCACTCATCTCACTTTTTATCTCCCTCTAGGTAAATACAACCCAACTGGGTGTATCTCCTTCAGATTGCAATCCTATGGAGACAGAACATTACCTACCTACCTGTCTACCTATCTACCCACCCCATCCATCCAGCATCCATCCATCCCACTTTTCTCTTTATCCCCCGCTATGTAAATACTACACACTTGGGTGTATCTCTTTCAGATTACAATCCTGTGCAGAGAACCCTAACTACCTATCCACCTACCTACTTACCCACCGATTCCATCCATCCATCCATCCATCCATCCACCCATCTCACTTTTTATCTCCCTCTAGGTAAATACAATCCAACTGGGTGTATCTCTTTCAGATTGCAATCCTATGGAGACAGAACACTACCTACCTACCTACCTACCTACCCACCCACCCACCCATTCCAACCCTCCCTCCCCGCAAACCCCACGCACTTTCGGGTGGCAC